TAACCGACGAGAGTCGAATAGACCGAGTTATTAAAATAGACACAAATACGTCGGGCTCCGATGGGACTGTAGCACAACAAATTGTGTCCACCGATGAAAAAATATCGGCAGTGAAAAATTCAAATCTTAGTGTACTAAACGATTTAAAGGAAAACAGTACTTTGCAGGTGAACGTGAAGATTACTGTTGTTATAAATAACGGAAACCAATCTATTTTAAAAGACGGGGATCGGGAAACAACTACAGTTTCCACTGGTAATAGTAAAGATAAATCCCCTGGCCATGAACTACCAACAAAAAATGTAATCATACAAGCTAACACTGAACCAAATTACGCCGTTTATAACATGACAGAAAACGTAAAAACAGAAAACCCTGCGTCAGGTACTACAACAGCTGATACAACAGTCAATGCGAATATTTTATTCCCAGGTCCTATCAACACGTCAACCCACGAAAATGATCTTATCATTGCTGTAACAAATGACAATATAACAGACATCGACCAATTGCTGTTTCCGGATAGCAGACGTCTTGATATACCAACAACTAATATAACCTTTAGCTGTCCTGAAGGACTTGTAATGACGGACAAAGGGTACTGTTTAAAACCTACGGACGGCGAGGAAAATAAAATAAATGTTATAAATGATAATGTCATACCTATATTAGCTTTCGCTGGTAGCTGTATAATTGGCTATGCGAGAGCCCTCGATGGATCTTGTCAGGAAGTGATTTACGATTAAAAATGGGAGCTTGAAAAAGTGCTACACAAATACACTTAATCTTATGCACTTAAGTGTAAAATGTAAAAAAATATTCAATGAAATCCTAATTCTGGTTTTTAAACGCAAAGAACGTTTAATATAATATGATTTAGTAAGAAATGTAGTCAATTTTTTCCTTAATCATATTATATTTAATTGTACTCAAAAGGATTCAAGTCACCGTGTTGACAGAACAAACACTGTTTTTTTGCGCCCAGAAGCAATTGAAAAGGGCTACCCCCGTAAACGGGAGGGAGGTGGTGAATGCTTTATGCATACCACGATAGCCGGCTGTCGTGGTTATGTGGGACTCACTGTGACTAACCTAACCTAACCACCCTAAGTGTACCCACTAAACACCACCTGTGAGACTGGCATTGGCTTATGAGGCCTTTCTGCCGAAGAACTAACACTTAGAATATCATACATACGGTAGATACCTCAGCCAAGTTTCGGTTGGTTTGGGTAAAGACGGTATCGATGAGGCCATTATTATTCGAATTTCTTAGCTGTACTGAATTTGACTGTGTCTTACAATATGTGTAATGATAACTCATTGAAAACAAGTGTTTGTAAAATGATAACTTTGTCCTATTTTGTATTCATATTTTATTTTAACATATTTAAAAGAATTTATTTAATAGAATTTAACGTGAAAGTAAATTAATTTATAAAAAAGAAAACCTGAAATAGGGCAATGGAGTTCTTTAACTTTGGAATAAAGTACTTTAAGTGTAATTAAAAATATTTTGAAAAAGTTCTAAGCATATTTTTGATTAAGTGCCTCAAAAACACTCTTTGCAAACGTTCTTTTTAACATTTAGGACTGGTTTTACGGAAGCGTAGATTTTTTTTAATTACATAGTATACAATATTTTATTATATACAATATTAAAAACTATAATAGAAATAGAAGGGGAGTTGATTGAGCAAGTGGATGAGTTTGTATATTTGGGATGTTTATTTAGCAGGGATGGTAGATATGATAAGGATATAGAACGACGAGTGAACGCAGGAAATAGAGTGAATGGGGCTCTACACGCTATTGTGAGGAGTCAGAATGTGTCAACTAAGGCACGTATGGCAATTCATAATGCTGTGTTAGTACCCACTTTAATGTATGGTAGTGAAAGTTGGGTCTGGCAGAAGAAGCATGAGAGTAGAATAAATGCTGTAGAAATGCGTTCCTTAAGGAGTATGCTAGGGCTGAATCTGAATGACAGGGTGAGAAATAGTGTAATAAGAGAAAAGTGTGGTTTGCAAGATGACGTTGTGACAAGGATTAAGAAAGGAATGCTTCGGTGGTTTGGTCACGTAGAAAGAATGAACGAGGAAAGAGTGACAAAGCAAATTTATGTTGCAGAAGTGAACGGCAGGGTCGGGAAGGGACGCCCTAGACGAAGGTTTATCGACCAGATCGGCGATACATTGAAAATGGGCCAGATTAGGAGTACCCTTAACCGACGAGCGTGTATGCGTAGATATATGGATGTGAAAGAGGCGAGAGAGGTGTGTCAGGATCGCGCCAAATGGAAGTCCGTAGTCTCTGCCTACCCCTCTGGGTGACAGGCGTGAGTGTTTATGTATGTATGTATGTATAAAAACTATAATAAAAAAGTAGCCTTATATCAAGAAAACACGAGTATCTTTAACAAAAAAGTGAGATCAGGAATCTCACGTCTCTCAAGAGAAAGGAATTAATATAGCGGTAATCATTGACTCTATACCAAAGGTAACAGATAAACCTTGTTTAAAATGTATGTTACAAGTTTACGAGTACATACCCGGGATCCTAGGTTTGTGATGCGAATTCTAGATTACTTATAACAAGAGAACAATACAGAATATTAAGAGTAAGGCTTAGTAAAGTCCTCATAACTTTTTTTTTATAGGATAGGGTGACAAACGAGCACATAGTCCACCTGATAGTAAGTGGTTGCTGTGGCCCATAGACATCTACATTTATCCTCGTTTGCGAATCAAAATACAGATGCGTTGTCACCCGTGACGACTAAGATGGAATGCCTATTTTCCAGTAAAAAGGATCTCCGGTCAACTATGTATAAGAACCCGAGGGCTTTCAAAGATTTTGCTTAATGCTTCCTAAGGTACTTAGAAGCATTAAGAACACCAAGACCTCTAACAATGTAATCCCATTTTAGATTTTCACCTTTTAGTTTATGGTTGAAGACAACCGGTTTATGTTTGCAACTATAGGTCATATAACTACATTTAGAAGGGTTCAAATCTTAGTAGTTAGGTCGAAATAACGCTCAGCATCATCAATTGAAGTTATTTTCAAAAAGTGCTTCATATCGTCAGCAAAACCTAATAAGCGAGCTGTTTTATGTATTGGTTAATGTCATTGATACATATATCAAATAATAACGGTCTCAGTAGAGAGCCCTGTGATACCCCGCTTGGAACAGTTATCCATACCGAACATCTTGAACAGTTTTAGTTTTGGCCGGTGGAAGGAAAAGGGGAGATCACCCGCCGGGCAAGGTGTTCTGCCCGGGGAGCGGCCAACGCTCCGAGTGGTAGTTCGGAGCTATTTTATATATATATATACTGCTTTAACTTCGGAACTTTGTTAGCGCGACGACAGCGCCGCCACATCACCGCCCTGCTCAGAACGGAGGTCGATAGTGAAGTCCGATTGCCGGTGCGTCCTTAATGTCGGTGGAGAATGCATGCTGTGTGCGTAAGGGCAAGTGACGCCGGTGCGAATGATATGCCGGTGTGTAATGCATGCCGTACTACGCACTTGCAAGTGATGCCGGTGAGAACGATGAGCCGGAGCAAGTGCCAGGGATTGCCTTGTTAGTCTGCGGTGGGTCGAGAAGAAGGCAAGTAATCTGCGAGAGTGCCGTGAAGCAGAGGCGAGCAGTAAGGCTCAGAGCCGTGCCGAACACTGTAGCGCAGAGAGTAGCTTGAAGGAACAGAAAGCATTATTGTTCCAGTGCTGCGATGAACCTTTGTAAAGCTAGATGGCTTGCAGAATGTTAAGACTGCAGACAATATCTGCTCGGGAGCGAACAAATGGGGTACTTGAGGACAATGAGGAAGGTTAGAAGTTGTAGTTTCCGAAGGTTATTGGTTGCGTGTTCATATCACGTCGGGGTCATCACTGTGGCCGGTGGAAAGAAAAGGGGAGATCTCCCGCCGGGCAAGATGTTCTGACCAGGGAGTGACCAACGCTCCTAGTGGTAGTTCGGAGGTATTCTGCATATACTGCTTTAACTTCGGAACTTTGTTAACGCGATTTAGGCTTCGATATGTTTCGCTTGTGGCGCGATGACAGCGCCGCCACACAGTAATGCAAGTTATGCTGTATTCTGTCAAAGGCTTTACTATAATCAGTACAAATGACATCTACTTTGTGGCGACTGTCCATTGCTTCAGTCAGGAATGCATTAATAAGAGCAAGGCTTGAACCTGTAGAGCGTCCTCTTAAAAACCCGTTGAGTCGGATTGAATGAATACTTTAGGGCATACATAATTTAAATTATGTATGCCCTATGTATTATTATGTATTTAAATTACAATATACATAATTTGCTCGAAAATCAAAAACTATGCTTAACTTGAAAATCGGACGATAGTTAGTAGTTTCGGTCTTGGAACCCTTTTTAAAAGCGCGCTTCCAGACAATTCTTGTACTGAGAAACTTTTTATACATAATAGTTAGATGCATAAATGTTATGCGTACAATTACTCGTAATAAGGAAATGAGCTGGAAGGTTATCTGGACAAGTAGATTTAATTGGATCCAACTAAATCAGTTTCATGACCGTATTTTCGTTCATATCGATAGAGGTGATACAACACTCATCTGCGACGACGCTGGATACTGGATAGTCATTATAATCATTTTGAGACAGCTGAGTATTACTGTCACCCAAACTCAAAAAAGTAGAACGAAAGTACTTTGAAAAAACATTATAGATAAGTTCACCAGAGTTCATTACAGAACCTTTTAATTTCCATACACGCTCACGCAATAGCTTATAAATTTCTTTTTGGGTATCCCATAATCCTCCCTCTTACGAAGGAACCTCTTACAAGGAAACCTCTTACGACACCCTTGCAATGGGCGAAATGAGTGATGGAAATTCTTACGTAGCCATCACAGGGCATGAATTTGAATTAGAAAATTTAAATTAATTGACACTAGCAAATATGTAGCAATGAAAATAAATAGAAAAGGAAAAAGAATTGAATTATTTGCAGAGTGCTAAAGTATCCGGCTGTCTTCCGGCTATGGGATATAGTTTCGCAGCGGGCACAACGGACGGGCCGGGCGCGTTCGATTTCACTCAGGGCACCACCACCTCAAACCCGCTCTGGAACGCAGTCAGGGACTTCATTGCTGAACCCACCAAGGAGGATATCGAATGCCACGCGCCTAAACCCATCCTTTTAGCGACGGGAAGGGTAAGTTATTTCCATTGATTATACTTTGAATAAAATTAATTTACCAGATTTTATTAATTTTTTGAGAGTGATAAGGAGGTATCCGCCGTGCTTCTCCATTGCATGTTAACGGACTTCACTTCGCATGTTCTAGAAAAATATTATTTCTCAAATGTGCAGGTATTCTCGTGGTTGTTTTCCTTCACTGCCGAGCACGTGGTAAATGAGCATTTAAACTTACGAATAACCCTTCCAGAAATAGGAGGAGGCCTGTGGCCCGCAATGGGATTGGTTCTATGTGGGTCCGCTCGTATGTGTCGGATAAACCGTTAATCGTCAGAAAATTCAGTTTAGCAGACCTGCACTGCTGAACGTGGAAATCGTTATAAAACCGTGTAGTGTCGGTGTTGGAATATCCATTACTCCACATCATCTGTTGGTGTCGTAAGAGGCAACAAAAGGAAACAAACCAGGAGTTGGACAGCAGCGTCCCCACGATAACAACCAAAACAAAAACGCTGGCCGTACTACCGTTACCTTTATCGTTACGGCCTATCAAAAGTAGGCTTGGGCAAACAATATGGATATATCGATGTTTTCTTATAAAAAGATCGATATTTCGATATATCGATATTAATTATAGAGTATCGAATTCGTATTAACGATATATTTTAAAATTTTATATTAACGGGCAAAACATGAAACAACAAAAGGAGCTACAATAATTTAAAATTAAAAATTTTGTATAGCTGACTTCAATATAAGTTATTAAGAATAACTCAAAAACTATTGGTCTGACCCTGATTAAAATTCATGTGAGACCACACGAGGAGTATCAGCTTTCATATAAAAAAGAATCATAGAAATCGGTTCACCCAGTAAAAAGTTATGAGGAAACACACATAAAAAAAACAAAAAAAAATCCAGTCGAATTGAGTACCGTCTCCTTTTTGGAAGTCGGCAGAAAAAGCATTCATATGTGGTTGTCGTTATTTTTCGTTGTGCAACCGTCAGTAATATAAAATTTTGTGCTTTATCCTTACATCATGCAAATGATGACGATATATATATATATATCAATACTGTTTAAAACTACCGATTCGATACATATCGATACATTTTTTTGCTTTGCGCATCCCTAATCAAAAGTCCATAGTTGAACACAGCTGAACAAGGGACATTTGTCATAGTCGCCACGAATTCTCTTACGCCGCCACTACATGACAATCACAATCCTTTCTAAAACCATTAAAAAATAAAATGTTTGTTTGACAGGCGAAATTTCCGTACGAGTGGCAACCCAAAGTGGTATCTTGTGCGGTGGCGCGAGTGGGCGGGCTACTGGTGGCTGCTGTTCCTGGCGAATTCACCACCATGTCCGGCAGGAGACTGCGTAACGTGGTAGCACGCGCCGCAGCTGCTGCCTCTGCCACTGCCACTGCCAGCCGGGTCGTGCTGGCCGGACTCTCCAATATATATTCTGACTACATCGCAACACCCGAGGAATATCAGGTATGAATGTAAACCAGATTTGAGAAATAGTGAAAGAAAAAAAAAACATCTAACGAAATGTTTATTCGTAGTCTATATATACAGAAGAAATATATATCAAAGGAAAAAATAAACAAAATCCACGTTTTAAATAAAAATTGTACAATTTATAAATAAATAATCATGTTCTATTTTCTCCTTTTATTTTTAGAAATCTCCCTTTTTTCTTACGATACTTATTAGAATTTGCATCACTGGGTACCTCACGTATGTTTTAACAGCCTTCCTACAACCTTTGCTGATAATGTCAAAAAAATAACTAATTAGTTCTTAGAAGTAATGAGGTAGTTTATTTAAATTTGACTACAGTTGTCCATAGACTAGATTAAAAACAAACTAAGGTGTTGCATTCATAACTATTGTAATCTATGATATTGATCTTGATATGACCACTAAGTGGACTGTGTTATTTTTCCCCTATTCTTATATAAAAAAAAACCTTGATCCGTCTATCACTTTGTCGTGCAGTGGCAGTGAAATAATATCCACTACCCCAGATCATCCCGTGGGTGTCGTAAACAAATCAGGAGATGGGCAGCAGCGTCTTCTTAACAACACTTAAAAAAACTGCGGTTGCCAACCCGCTCACCAAGCGTGGCAACTATGGAAAATATCTCTCCTATCAGGCAATCTATGGGGGAGATCTATGTTCAGCAGTGGACTTTAATAGGCTGTAACGATAACGGTCAATCACTTTGCTTCCAGGCACAACGGTATGAAGCGGCATCAACAATTTTCGGCCCTCACACTCTGGACATCTACCTCAATAAATATGTGGAGCTTACGGATGCCGTGATGAAAGTAAGTAGCTATGGCGCTGAAATAGCAATTGAGATTTTATTTTAGTATTTTATAGTAACATACCGCTACCCCATATCGTCCCGTGGGTGTCTAAGAGAGGACAGAGGGAAACTGAAACAGGAGAGGGCCAGCAGGATCTTTCTAATAACAACTGAAAATAACAAAAACTGCGGTTGCCAACCCGTTTACTAAGCATGGCAACTATGGTGTACTAGTATATCCTCTATATAGGACAATCTGCGGGCAGGTCTATGTTCTGCAGCGAATTTTTATAGGCTGTAATGGATAGACAAATTAACGGAAACCACAGAGTTTCTGTTATATGTTGTTATCGATATATGTATATGTATTAAGTACATATAACTCAATGCATGTCATATATAGGTTAGGATAGGTCAAGTCATAATAGATAACAGAAAAATATAAAAAAAAATTAAAAATTACAGACACTCATAAAAAAATCGAGAAAATCTACAGCTACATACTTTAACTCGATTGAGGATGTAAATTTTCTCAATTTTTTATAAATGCCTGTAGTTTTTAAAATACAGAGCAAATATTTTTTTATATTTTTCTGTTAACTATTATGACTTGAACTATCACCCGATTCCAGCTTGACGTTAACGTCTGGGACAGCCTATATATAATACCAGTGGACTTTTAATAGACTGTAATTTATTGCCTTTTTTCTTTAAAAAAAAAAGACATTACCACCACACTAGGATTCTCTCCTGTATCGTGCTGGCAGTTTACATGTAAGATATGAATTAACGAAACGCAGGGTCAGCGTGTGGATCCGGGTCCGAGCCCGCCAGACTTAAGCGAGCAGCTGATCTCGCTGGTGCCGCCCGTGCTGTGGGACGCGGCGCCCTGGGGCAAGGAGTTCGGCGACTGCGTCAAGCAGCCGCAGAAGTATTACAGCTACGGCGACGTCGTCACTGCTTCCTTTGTGAGTGCTTCAGTGTGTTTGTACATAATGATGTACACGATGTCCCTATTGTACAGACGCAGTTACTCAAAAAACATAGCTGTAGAGATTTGAAAAAAAAATTTATTTATTGAACCCAAAAAGAGAAAATAGGAAAAAAGAGAAAAATTGAAAGAGTGAATAGGCTTTTTGTTAAGTCAGTGTGCTTCACTATCTTAGGCTACATCACCATTTACCATCAGGTGGGATTGTAGACAAGTGCTGGCTTAGTAGAATATAAAAAAAGCACTTTATATAAAACAAAAATTTATAAAACTATATTGACAAAACTTAATATACTATATTAGGATATTTTTAGCAACCGTGGTAGTTCACAGAGCTGTATTACACTTGCTAAGCTCTTACTATTGAATACATTCCAAAACAGAACAAATAATAAAAGCATAAAAACAACAGTATAATTTTTGTTTCTCATATCATATATTATATACGTTTGTATATAATTTTTAATTGATATTTTATTATAATTTTATATTATATAATATTTTATGTTTTTGTTTTATGTAAAGTGTTCTTGGGTTCAATAAATAAATAAAACTAAAAGATAAATGCATTTTATAAAGTGAAATTTTTTGTAGACGCGTTCTTTTTTAACAGTGATCGAAAGTGAATTGTCACGCTCGGGTCGGTGACGCTGAATCAGTTTTATTTATAGGTAGAGCCATACTGCAGTTATATAATAGTTGTAGCACAAACGAGTCCACCATACACTAACAGAATACCAACGTAAAATAGCAGTTTAATGCTGCTGTGTTTCGTGTGGTGAGTGTAGAGAACCGGAGACCGTTTTACTGGAAACGAGGCATCTCATCTTAGTCCTCAGGGGTGACAATGCATCTGGATTTTTGATTCTAAATTGAGAATAAATGTAGGTGTCTTTGGGTCACAGCAGCACACATGAAAGTTATAACTAAATTTTAGAAAACTTTTATATCATGTACGGAAAAATGAGGTATTGTGAAGAGAGAATGAATGGATTGATTGGTATATTGGTCGCGTGCAGGTGTCGGGGCACCCGCGCAACAGCGCGCGCGCGGGCCGCTGGCTGGCGGCCGTGGAGCGCTTGGCCTCCGCGCCCGACGACGCCTGGACCACCGTCGCCACCGACGCCGACTGGGAGACCAAGTAATCAACTCGCCACTCTCTACACACTTTCACTGCCTACATAACCAACCAAACATTTTTTAAAGTGAAAACTTCTTTAGAATCGTTGTGATTTGAACCTTGATGAAATGAAAAAGTGACACTAAAAACAGACAAACATACACAATGTCTCCGGTCACGGATTAGCGATATTCTAGGTACTTATATTACAACTATTTTCATACACAAATACACTACACACTGAGGTCTAATCTTCTTCCCCTATATGTGGCAGCTATTTTGTTTTGTTTTAGATATTCTCTACGTGTATACAAAAAAAATAATACATCTCAAAGTTTTAGTCTTACTGAGATAACAATAAATTTATTCGGAGGGCAACAATATTCTCTATCGTTTATACTGTGAAAAAATGGGTTCATATACTCGTAACTTTAAAAAAAAGGCCAAAAAATATCCAAAAATATGCAAATCGGCAAATTACTATAAAAACAATCCCAATTACCCTTTTATATTTTTATTAGATCGGCAAACTTTCTGCTAAGCTATGTAGCTAGTATTGTATATACAACATTAAGTTTACAGCTGTATGTCTACTATAATAAGAATTATTATTGTTTGAACATAGTCTGTGCGCAAACACAAAAGACCATTGTTAAGTAACATGTAGCTTATGTACTGTTTTGAGCAGTTGCAGTTAGCTATTGAATGCAGTGATGCATTCCAATCAAGAATCGCCTGCTCGAAAATACTGCAAGTTACTAGTAGTTAGTAAGTACTAGCGTGAGTAAGTGAGATGGAACATTTTTTTTATAGGAGAGGGGGCAAACGAGCATGCGGCTCACCTGATGGTAAGTGACTACCGCCGCCCATGAACAACTGTAACACCAGAGGAACCAAGGGAATTGCAGATGCGTTGCCTGCCTTTTAAAAAGGAGTACGCTCTTTTCTTGAAGGTCCCGAAGTCGTATCGGTCCGGAAAAATCGCTGATGGTAATCGATTCCACAGGGAAGTAGTGCGAGGAAGAAAACATCTTCTAAATCGCTAAGTGGTGGACCGCCAATCATCCATATGGTGTCCATGGTATTGGGAGTTCTGCCACGATGTGCGTTCGTGAAATTTGGCGGCTGGGGTTAATCCGAACAATTCCTCAGAGCACTCCGCGTGGTAAATGCGAAATAAAACGCAAAGGGATGCAACATCTCTTCGCAGTGCCAATGAATCGAGCCTATCGGAAAGGACTCGGTCGTCGACGATTCGAACCGCTCTGCGCTGGATGCGGTCAAGTGGAAGGAGCCGGCACTGGGGTGCCCCTGCCCAGAGATGGGAACAGTATTCCATGTGAGGCCGAACCTGCGCCTTGTAAAGTTGCAGGCGGTGTGTCGGCATGAAATACTGTCCCACTCTGCTGAGCACGCCAAGCTTTATAGAGGCCAATTTGACCTTCTCTTCCAAGTGACCACGAAACTGCACGTCACTCAATATGTCGACTTCGAGGATTCCGATACTGGCTGAGGCAAGAAGGGGACTGCCTTGAAACTGAGGAGATATGACAAAGGGGTTTTTTTAGCGGTAAACGCGCAAACTTGTGTCTTCTGAGGAAACTGGACTAGATTTAGTCGCCCCCAATCCGAGACTTTGTTCAGCAAAGACTCGACTTCAGACACAAGTTTGTTGCGATACTCGGCGACGTTTTCCCGAGAAATATTGGCACGGCCGATGTATAGAGCATCACCAGTGCTGTCATCCGCATAACAATGAATGTTACCAGTTAGCAACATATCATTGATATGCAGAAGAAACAGCGTTGGTGATGGCACACAGCCTTGTGGGACTCCAGCGTTAATAGGCTTGTAGTCAGAGCATGCACCGTCTACAACGACCTTCATGCTCCGATCTGCAAGGAAGCTGGTGATCCAATTGCACAATTTCTCGGGAAGCCCATAGGAAGGGAGCTTCGAGAGAAGCGTTTTGTGCCAAACCCGATCGAAGGCCTTCGCAATGTCCAAACTAACGGCCAAAGCTCCCCCCTTGGACTCTACTGCCTCCGCCCATCTATGAGTCAGGTAGACCAGAAGATCACCAGCTTATCGACCCCCACGAAAACCGTATTGGCGGTCACTAATCAGCTGGTGATCCTCAAGGTACCGCATGAGCTGGCAGTTCCTTTTTTAGGGATCGGGTGGACAAAAGCTGTCTTCCATGATTTCGGGACTACGCCTAGGGAGTAGGAGTACCGGAAAAGACGCGTTAGGACCGGTGCCAACTTCGGAACACACGTCCTCAGCACAATTGGGGGGACTCCGTCAGGCCCACTCGACTTCTGGATGTCCAGGGAGAGGAGTGCTTTGCGAACCGAGCGCTGTGAGAACCGCACATCCGGCATGGCGCACTCACACTGCGGGATGGTCGGCGATGTTTTCCCCCCATCATCAAGAGTCAAGTTGGACGCAAAAAGGGAGCCTAAAAGGTCGGCTTTTTTCTTTTGCGGCGTGGGCCAGTGAGTCGTCCTCCCTGTGCAGAGATGGTAGTGATGGCTTACAGAAATTCCCTTGGACAGCGTTGGCAAGAGACCAGAATGCACGGGTTCCCGAAGGAAGGCGAACTAGTTTCTCGCCAGTTCTACCTATGTGCTCTGACTTTGCCCTGGCAATAACTCTTTTGAAGGACCTGGAGGCGAAGTTATACTTCTTTTCAAGTGTGCTGGTGTTTACATCCCGAGTCGACGAAGCCGCAGCCCAAGTTTGATAACACTCCTGCTTACTGCGTAATGCAGTCTTACAGGAGCGGCCAAACCAAGGCTGAGATCTGCCTCCGATGGGTACCACAGATGATGGAATAAATAGTTCCATTCCCTGTTGCACCACATCAGTGACGGAGTCAGCAACAGCACTGGGATCATCCGGCGAGAAGCAAACCCGCCCCCATGGGTAGGAAGCAAAGAAAGACCGCATTCCGTCCCAATCCGCCAACCTGTAATGCCAAACACGGCGGCAACCTGCAAAACGCAACCGCGAGGGGAGCGTGAGTGGCACCACACTCCCGATCAGACAATGGTCCGAAGGGCCGAGAGGGGCATCAACGGAAACCTGATATCCATCCGGATGAGAGGTCAGCAGAAGGTCTCCAACAGGGAAGGTGTATGATCCTCCACATCTGGAATCCGCGTAGGCGAAGTAACCAGTTGTGTCAGACCATATGCCAAGGCAAAGTCATAAACAGATCTCCCCGCATGATCGGTTAAACGTGAACCGAGCCATTCAGCGTGGTGGGCATTAAAATCGCCGAGGATCACGAGCTCTGCGGGTGGGACCTGTTGTAGCAAGGAATCTGTAGCCATTTGGATGTGGTCGATGAGTCGGTCTGTTTCGGCATTACCGCTATGGGACCTATAGAGGCACCCGTAGACGCGCGGATGGTCGTCGCTGTCTACGCGTAGCCAAAGGATGGACAGATCCGAACCTTCAAGACTGCCGAGGCGTCGAGAACAGATGTTCTCTCTGACATACACGCAAACTCCAGCCCGAGGCACAAAGGAGTGCTCCAATTTGTACCCTGGGTAGGAGAGATACGAAATATCAGCTGGAGAGGATACCTGTGTCTCGGTCAGAAAGAGCAAGGCCGGCTTCGCCCTCTCATGATGGTAGTCAGCGGCGTTTAGGTTCGAGTGAAGTCCCCTGATGTTGCAGAAATTCACGGATAGCGTGGCAGGGGTCGCCTTGGTATTGTTGCTCAGTTTGCCTCGAGCAGTTATGTTTTGGAGCGAAATTTGCCCCCCCCCCCCTCCCCCCAGAATACGCGGGCAGCCTGAGCACCCACGCTCAGGAGTGGAATAACATGGTAGTGGATGCTCAACGAGGGATTCTCCAGGTGTACTGGTACCCTCCTGGGGTAGTCTTTAGTGTTTCCGCTACCATGTTGTTGGGGGGGGGGGGGGGGGGGAATACGTGCAGAGAAAAACTGCCGCGTGGCTAATTTAACGGTGGTAAAGCCACCGTTAAATTACATACTGGTATTAGCAAAAAATACTATGGACTGACGAAGCTAAATGCCAAGAGTTGGCATTACAAATCACAGAAATGATCATCTCTGGTGCTCGGTAAACACACAAGCGATGCGCCCAAATTCGTTTCAACACGAAATTTCGGTGAATGTATATACCTGCATAATCAACGATAGTTTGATAGGAGCGTTAGAATTGCTGTAAATATAAATAGCCTATTGAGCTACCTTTGTCATACCGTCAACGTATGTGAGTCCAGCTTGGAGGTGCACCTGCGCTTTTTTTCATAAATTGCTTTATAAAAATTAATTTAGTTTTACAAGGGGTCGCTCAACAACTGACGCTAGGGTTGAGCTTAATAAAAATATTTTTTATGCATGGGAGAATTCAGACAATGCTTTGGGTATATTTTGTGACCTTTCCAAGGCCTTCGACTGTGTTCACCGTGAGACATTAATCAGGAAGCTACAGTATTATGGTGTCAAGAACTTAAACTCTTATTTAATTATTTCATATTTAAGTAATAGAACGCAGAAAGTTATTATCAATGGTAAAAGTTCTTCTGGGTCATTTGTACTAATGGGTGGCCCTCAAGGCTCAATTCTCGGCTCATTCCTATTTCTAGTGTATATTAACTTACCTTCCCTTGTAGTGGATAATCATGGTATAATATTATTTGCTGATGATACTTCCTTGACTTTTAAACTTAAACGTCAACCATTTAAATAAGAAATAAAACTAAAGGTATTAAATTTACATGATCGAATGTTAAAAATCTGAATAGCAATATGTTTTTAAATGGGGAAGAACTGAGCCCTGTTGAATCCTCTGTTTTTCTTTGCATCACTTTTGAAGCAAAGCTTCAGTGGAGACCTCATATATCCAAACTAGCAAGAGGACTAAGTTCTGCAGCTTATACTGTAAAAAAGATTAGAGGTCTCACTAGTTTTTTTTTTTATAGAATAAGGATGACAAACAAGCACACAGTCCACCTGATGGTAAGTGGATGCTGTGGCCCATAGACATCTACATTTATCCTCGATTAAGAATCAAAATGCAGATGCCTTGTCACGCCTGAGGACTAAGATGGATTGCCTCGTTTCCAGTAAAAAAGTTCTCCGGTTCTTTACACTCCCCATACGAAACACAGCAGCATTAAGCTGCTATTTTACGCTGGTATTCTGTGAGAGCGTGGTCCCTCCTCAGTCCAGCCGACCCATTCGTGCTACAACTATAATATAGCTGTAGCATGGCTCTACCACTTAAAAAAGTGTAGAGATAGCTAGATTAGTTTATTTTAGTTATTTCTACAGCATAATGTCTTATGGGATTTTGCTACGGGGAAATGCGGCTAATTTAGAAACTACTTTTGTTTAACAGAAGAGGGTCATTAGAGCTATTTACAACCTAAAACCGAGAGAGTGTCTTAAACAAAATTTTAAAGAAATTAATATATTAACTTTGGCCTCTTAGTATATTTACGAAAATTTTATGTATGTTCACAAAAACATAGGTAGTTTTAGTAAAAAAGTGATATACACACTGTAAACACTAGGAACAAACACAAGCTAGTAATACCAGTTTCTGGATTCCACAGAGTCAGTAATTCATTCTTCGGGCAATGTGTACGCTATTACAACAAAGTCCCAGAAAATATACAAGTTCTCTCTATTACCAAGTTTAAATATTTTATTAAACAAAAACTGCATAAAAAGGGTTATTATAATATAAATGAGTACATTGTTGATAATAACCCCAGGGAGTGAGGTGGTCACATCCAAGCTGTTCCTAAAATAAATTTTGTAAATAGTTTGTACAACCATTCATGTAAAATTTACTTTAAAAAAAGGTCCCATTGGGTTTCTTGATGGTTCTTCCCAGGACAGAGGTTTTGTTTTCGAACCAGTGGTAAAGTAAAAAATGACTTTCAATAAGAATTACACATGTGATCTAAATATATTGAATAAGAAATTATTCTATTCTATTCTAATCATGATAATGTTATTATTTAATAGGTACATCTGGCAACGGAACTCCAAAATTCTTGGCACGAGCTACGCTGTGATCGAATGGGAGATTCCCGTGGGAACCCCTCCGGGGACTTATAGGATACACCATTACGGGAACTATAAGTACATCTTGGGCGGTATTTATCCTTACCATGGATTTAGTGACAGCTTTGAAGTCACCTAAGTTTTTCTATTTTATTGTATTTAAGTTTAAAATAACGGTAACGTGAGGAAGATATATTTATTATATGTGTTCACAAAATATTAATACAAACGATATTTCCAAAATAGAATAATTAAATTGTCTCTGAAATTTAATAAAACCAAAAAATACAAAAAATTAACAAAAATATATTAATTTTGTTAAATACGGGATATATCTATTTTTAGCCTTGTCTCCTGACACTACGCTAAAAGAACTAGAAACAAACACTTGTTATTTTATGGTAACAAGTTGCTACAATGTTGCCAGTCTCCTCCTACTAAATTATTTTAGTACGGAGAGACTGGCAACATTGTAAAAGGGCACGGCCTGCTAATCTGTTCCATAGTTTGTATATACAGGTTGTCCCAGTAATGGTGGATAATCTGGTACGTACGTGTTCGGGGGGGGGGGGGGGGGGGTGTCGTCCTTATTACTCATATTAATCCTAAGCACCGTTTGTCTCGCTCACACAGCTTAGAATTCGTCCAAACAAGGCGAGCAGGTAGTAAAGTAAACTTTTCAAGGGCGATAAATGTACTTACCTAATAAAGACATACAATGTTCAAAAAAACTATCTGCCAATAATTTTGTAATGAAATGCCTACTTTTACACATTAACGGCTGTAGCTCAGTAAGTAATGACATTAAGTACATGGTATGCTAATGTTTTAGAATCCTTATGATATAGGCAATCTTTTTAAATGGTTAGCCACACAGATCCTATACGTTTTTTTCACCACAGGTGCTCAAACCTATTAGTTAAATAAAGTAAAAAATTTAAACTTATGTTTAGTGCCGTCTTGTAAAATACTACCCATAGTAGTTGAAAACTTTTAAGGGTAATTTAGAAACATCACTATTAGGGAACACATTAAAATAAAAAAATCCTATCTAGGCATTAAACTGCGGACGTGATGACCACAAATGTGAGCAGAATTACGAATATTCGGAATTTTTTAAAACATGGCGTAGACCGCGAACCGTTCGGGATAGATTTTTTTTTAGGGATCCGTGGCCACCTCCCCCCCGCCCGAACACGTACGTACCTGATTATCCACCATTACTGGGACACCTGTGTAAATCATTTGTTTCAATATATAGGTACATGTATTAATATATAAAGGATACAATTTATAATAAATCGTCTTTATTATTATTAAAGGAAATTTTACAACCATAGTTTGTATCATACTTTTGTATAAAACGCTTTTTAGAACTTTTGTAAGGATTAGAACTATTTCTTTGTGTAACCATATTGTACCATACAGTAAAAAAAAAAACATATATGTAGATATTTGTAGGTTTTCATAGTTTCCTATTTTATTAAAACAAATACCTAAGATATGAATAAAATACGCTAGTCGATTGCTTGCTTTTAGATTTTATAATCCATAAAAAGTTTTTATATTTATTGTTAAGTTTATTTTATAGTTTTTTTAACCTTGATTGATTAATAACTCGGGGTCCATGTTAGTTGGGGACGTACAAAAATCCATAACGCCATTTCATCCCGTTGGTGTCATGGCGACTGAAATTGCTAGAAAAATATTATGGCTTCCGATGGATGGCGGTATAACCATTTTGTTTACGTCTAACGTGTAACTTAAATTAAAAAACAAACAAACCCCGAAACAAAAAGAGCTGATGATCTTCAAACGGCTGAACAGATTTTCTTGAAACATAGCTAAGAACATTCTCGATTAAGACACCTTTCAAACGAAAAAAAAAACTTAATCAAAATCTGTACATCCGTTCAGGAGCTATGATGCCACAGACAGATACACAGAAACACAAATACACAGATACACAAATACACAGACACATAGCTACACAGACACTCAGATACACATACATAGATACACAGATACACAGACACACAGATATGCAGACACACAGATACACAAATTCACAGATACACAGATACACAGACACACAGCTACACAGACACTCAGATACACAGATACGCAGACACACAGATACATAGACACACAGATACACAGATACACAGATACACAGACACACAGCTACACAGACACTCAGATACACAGATACGCAGACACACAGATACATAGACACACAGATACACAGATACACAGATACACAGACACACAGCTACACAGACACTCAGATACACAGATACGCAGACACACAGATACATAGACACACAGATACACAGATACACAGATACACAGACACACAGCTACACAGACACTCAGATACACAGATACGCAGACACACAGATACATAGACACACAGATACACAGATACGCAGATACACAGACACACAGATACACAGATACGCAGACACACAGATACACAGATACGCAGACAGATAGATACACAGACACACATCTGTGTGTAGTGTGTATCTACACAGATACACACTACAAACATATAACACCGCTCTGTTTTCGTCGGGGGTCAAAAATACCAGCCAGCGATGAGGTGCAGTGTCAAAGGTGCGAGACTTCTGGTACTTGCGATTCCATCCTCCCTACGACTGGAGAGGTCCATCCCCAGCAGTGGACTTTACGGGCTGATGAAATAGAAGAGAAAAATAGAAGAAGAAATTAAGTAGTAAATGACTGCTAGGCTCATTTGTGCCAAAGTCCGTTTCTATCATCGCACTAAAGATTCAAAGAACTTACTACATCGTGTATAGGGTTGCCATACTCTTGTAAAAAACAAAACATTACAGTATGTGTATATATATATCTTAGTATATAAAAATTACGTGTCACATTGTTTGTCCGCGATGAACTTTTAAACTACTGAACTGATTTAAATGAAATTTAGCGCACTGTGTGCAGTTTGGTCCAACTTGAGAGATAGGATAGTTTTTATCCCGATAAGTGACACTCAATTTTTTTATTGCTAATTTCAGGAGTTTTTTTTAGGAAAGCAAATTGGTTGTCGGAAAGGGCAGAACTGATAACTCTAGTCCCGTGACTAGGGTTGCTGGGGTTCTCAGTTCTCATTCTAGTAAAGCCAACATTTGCGTAACAAACATAAAATGTTTTTTTTTCGGGTCGCAACCAGTGTTATGATCGTCCCTGTGTCAACTAATACAATACAATACAATACAGTACAAAACTATTTATTATACTGAACTGCTTCGCTGATCTAGTAGTCGTAAGAGTGACTGCTGCTTATGTGGTCCCGGGTTCGAACTCCGGGTTTAGGTAAAAATCAGGAACCCGATGTCAGGAAGTTGGTGGAGCTTCAAACAAACCTCGAAAGGCACGTAAGGCCGTCGGTCTTGCGGATAATCTCTCTCCTGTCATGTCGGATTGCTATCCCATCAGACCAGAGAGTGAGAGACACTCGAGCACTGTAATGCTGTCTTACGCAAATGGTTAGTCTCCGTTGAGAGTGACGACCGTGATCGAAATCGGGTCTGGAGGACATTATAAAATTATTATTAAACAAACTTTAAATATTATTCGTTTTTAAAACATGGCTTTGTGATGTTAAGTAACATGTTACATGGTCCAAATGATTATATATGAATTGAAGATGTATTAAAAATTAATTCATGGATATAATATGCAATCGGAAGATGGATCATTTTCTGTAGATACATTACAATAGATTATATTTTTTATTAAAGCCATACTCACAGAAAAATCAATTTATTTCGATTACATAATCGGGTTAATTTTATAGTTTTATTTTTATTACTACCATATTTTTGTTTTTAATATTTAAAAAAAACTAAATACACTTTATAAACTAATTCTAAAGTATCTTAAATTTTAATTTCGTTTCTTTTCTTATACTATCCTCTTGATATAATAAAAAAAATTTGTAAAACTTTTTGTTAAAAGTAACGTATTTTTTGTAATAAACATTAATCAGTAATTAATAATACATAATTATATTTGTGATTAAAATTGTATAATGGATTAAAGTTATACCTACGTAAATACTTTTGTTTTTATTTTGAACTCTTTGATGAACTCCTAAACTACTGAACTGATTTCAATGATTTTACACACTCTGTGCAGTTTGGTTCAACTTGAGAGATAGGATAGTTTTTATCCCGATAAGTGACCCTCAGTTTATTTATTGCTAATTTCAGGAGTTTTTTTTAGGAAAGCAAATGGTAGTTCGGAAAGAGCAGAACAACGTCTGCCTGTTCAGCTAGTACATTTATAAGTTAGTAATATTTGCAAAATATACCATGACTGTGTAGTGACGGTGTAAGAATATCCACTAACTCACATCGTCTCGTAGCTGTCCTACGAGCCAACAGAGAGAAACAAACCAGAAGATGGGTAGCAAAGTCTTCCTAATAACAATAAAAATAAATAAAAAACTACGGTTGCCAATTCGCCAGCCAAGCGTGGTAATTATGGCAAATATCAAATATGGGGCAATCTATGGAGGAGGCCTATGTTTACCGGTGGTAAGGAAATATAATTAAAAAAACCTAATTAAAACAAATAATTTACAAGTTAAATTCAAAGGTGTTTTTTATAGGAGAGGGAGCAAACGAGCATGCTGCTCACCTGATGGTAAGTGACTACCACCGCCCATGAACAACTGCAACACCGGGGGAATTGCACATGCGTTGCCGGCACTTTAAAAAGGAGTAGGCTCTTTTCCTGAAGCTCCATAAGTCGTATCGGTCCGGAAAAATCGCTGGTGGTAATCGAGTCCACAAGGAAGTTGTGCGAGGAAGAAAACTTCTAAATCACACAGCGGCGGACCGCCAATCTTCCAGATGGTATGGATGTTATCGCGAGTTTTGTCGCGAAGTGCGATGGTGAAATTGAACAAAATGGAAAGTGTTCATCACGTCTTCATCTTGTATTTCTTTTTACTGTATTTTTATTCATGTTAATAAATTGTCATGTGATACTGGCGTGAATAGACGATCTAAGTTTAAGGTATTGATAAGAATAGGTTTCAGCATTCCTTTCGCAAATAACCATAATGCATTGCGCCTGCCTACTTTCAGAGAGACACCTAAGGTC